ACTTCCATCTACGCAACATTGCCAAAATCAGGCATATCTTGCCTCAAAACGATGCAGAGAAACTAGTCCATGCATTTGTTACTTCAAGGCTGGATTATTGTAACTCTTTATTATCAGGGTGTACCAAGAAGTCAGTTAAGTCGCTTCAGCTGATTCAAAATGCTGCAGCTCGTGTACTAACCAGAGTTAGGAAAAGGGACCACATTACTCCTGTTCTGGCTGCCTTACACTGGCTCCCTATAGAACACAGGATAAATTTAAAATTCTTCTTCTCGTCTACAAAGCCCTTAATGGGCAGGCGCCATCTTAACTTAAAGAACTCATTATACCCTATTGTCCTACTAGGGCATTGCGTTCCAAGAATGCAGGGAGACAGCCTTTCCGTTTTCAAGAGTGCGCTTAAGACCTTCCTTTTTGATAAAGCTTATAGTTAGGGCTGATTAGATTCAGCCCCTAGTTTTGCTGCTATAGGTTTAGTTTGTCGGTGGACATCTTACTTCTTCCTTCTCTCTGTCTATACCTGTGTACTCTCATGTTCCGAATAACCCAGCTTCCCCCAAATTTCTTTTTGGTGTCTATATACGCCGGGATCCTGAGTCGTGATTTGAGTCCGGGATTTCGAGTCGTGGCTGAACCTGTCTCTGCGGTCCTGCCTGGGTCTCGTCGTGCTGCCTCCCTGAAGGCTCCCACAGGATTGTTGACATCTTCGTGGATTCATCCTCTTATTATAGACACATACATTTCCTAACATTCGGTCTACCTATGTTGTAAATGTATTATCTCTTCGATTTACACACGGCATCTATTGCACGTCTGTCCGTCCTGGGAGAGGGATCACTCCTCTGTTGCTCTCCCTGAGGTTTCTCCCATTTTTCCCTTTAAACTGTGGGTTTTCTCTTGAAGTTTTTCCTTGTACGATGTGAGGGTCTAAGGACAGAGGGTGTCGTGTTGTCATACTGATATTCTGTACAAACTGTGAAGTCCACTGAGACAAATGTAACATTTGTGATATTGGGCTATATAAATAAACATTGATTGATTGATATTGTTATCATGGTATTGGCTACACTTATGACTTTGAACACATATCTGCCATTTCTATGAAGGTTTAGGTTATTTCTAATTGAAATCAATCGATTAAATATTGCAAATATTTATGAATTAACTCTTTTAACGGACTCCTTTTTCATTGCCAGTAGACGTATGTTTTTCTATTTTTTTCTTCTGGTGAGTCATGGTTGACGTCAAGGACATGACGGTAACTCATTATATTAGTTTTATATTGACGTTGGGAAATCGTATATTTGCCATAACATCCCTTGAGATTAAAACCAAAACTGTAAGGTATTTCATAAAGTGTGTCACTTGCTAACTAGTGTCACTTTTCTTAGGTATTTTGTCAAATGTTCATACTGGCATTCAGTTACCATCTCCAAAACATTATGTCCAACATGTCAGAAGAAAAGATGTCAATGCATGTGTGGTTGTTTTTTCTCCTGTCCCATGAACAGCATCAGGTTGCATCCTGCTCTCTTGTTCCTAAGCTAACATGTAGCTCCTCACCCACAGACGAGGACTGAACCCCCCACACAGAGTGAAGTCCATCTCTATGACCACATTCACACATCAGGAAATCGAGTTCCTACAGAAACACAGCAATGAGGTACCGTGTCCACATTTTACAACTAGTGACTCAGCATATTTCACAATGTTATTCAGAGTTTTGCAGTCATTCTGGCTCTGATTCTGGAACATCTTGGCATTCTTCTGAACCCTGCTTAGTCAACTTTATTGGCATTCCTCTCTCCCCACTTTTTTCTCCCGTTTCTCGTCATCCCCTCCCCCCTTCCCTTTATTTTCTCTCACCTCTCTTCCCGGGTTTGCCACCACCCCCACCCCAATCCTTTCCTTTACCTCCCACTCTCCTCATTCCTCTGCCCCCCACCCCCCAAAGGTCTGTAAACACATCTGGTTGGGCCTCTATGACGACAGGACATTAGTTGTTCCAGATTTCCGAGAGCCACAGAAAGTAAAAGAGTTCCTTCAAGAAAAATATGAAAAGAAAAGATGGTAAAATACACTCATTGTTTTCTTTATTGTGTGTTTGATATGTTTTGGGAAGAGAATAACTGTTGTTTTTGCATGCATGCAACTGCTTTTAAAAAATATTTTAAAAGGTAGTAAATGCTAAATAAAGTGCTTAAAATTCAAAAGTTCTGCGGGGCATTCAGTATTGCTGACTTGCTGTCATGCAAAGGGAAAGAGTGCTGACGTTTAAACGCTGCCTCTGCCATAAAGTTATGGATTTGGTTAACCATGTGTTTTAGCTTGATAGCATGCTCTTCATCATCCAGGAAATTCTTTGTGTACGTGTCACTTTCCTCTTTAACTGTAGTGTCGGTGGAAAGAGCACATTTTAAACACTGGGAGGAAGTTCCCTTGTGTACTAGCCTTTATCGCAACTCAATCAAACGAATAACTACCCATTTTTTTGTCTTCACGTAGTTATACGATTAGTTAAAAAGCTGCTTCTGTATTTAACTTAAATAAAAGACAAAAACTATCCTCTACATTTGTGTTGGTTTTGTTCTCTGGATGCGTAGGTATGTCCCTCCAGACCAGGCGAGGGCAGTAGCCAGTGTGCAGGCCTCTGTGTCCGGCTCTTCAGCCAGCAGCACTGGCAGCACCCCCGAAGTCCAGCCCCTCAAGACCCTGCAGCTCAACAAGACCCCTCTGCGCCAGGTAACAGAAATACACACTGAGGGCGAACTCACACAAAATAACATGACTTGTGCAGCCACTAAACATGCTGGACAAATAAAACTTAAACACCTGCTCAAATCTAGCTTTTGTATTTTGAAACGTTACTATCGGTATTCATTCCCAGGACGAATGACTCAGCAGTAGTCACAGTATTTATCGGCTCCAGCTCCGATTAGCTTCACCCGTGTGGCCATAATAATGTTCGCCCTTTCTCCTGTCGAATGTTTGTGATGCGTCTTGAAGGGAAATTGTCATTTATAAACATTTAAAGGTAACAATTATTGTGCTCTGCTCAAATCCAACAAACTCCAGTCAAACAGTAGTTTCACCTAGCGTTGTAAAACACACCTCAATAAAACTCGACAGAACAAAATCATGCAAAATATCTTCGTTATTTTTTAAAAGTTTAACCAATCATCAACTCTGGTTTGAGAGTTTGAAAGAGAGACTGAATTTGTCACTGATGTAAAATAGTAGTAACCACTCTTGTTTTCTAACCATGCGTTCTAGCAATCAGGAAATAGTCTATCACTTATTTACCCATGTCTAAAAAATCCTATACAAGTTCAATTTGGTTGGGGCTTAATTCTGAAAGCACCTGCAAAGGGTGAAATGTACCACTTACTGTGCTGCCAAGCAAATGGCGTCTCTGTGATCCTGTAAATATTAAAAAAATAGGGAATTCTTTATTTTATTTTATTTTTTATTTATTCTACTAAAATCATAAAAAAACGTGTAATTCATACACACAAATGAACAAAATTAGTAGCCCATTAAGTCCAAAATAAGCCCCCTTCTATGTACATGAGCCTTATTGCAAAAACTGCCCAACTGACAAAGATAAGCACTAATAGTCACACGCAGTTACTGTAAGGTCATTTATGTTTGGATGCATAGAAAAAATAAACAAAGCTCCACCTATGAATAAACAAATTATTTTCTTCCTTAATCCTGCGCTTTCATTTGATACTTTTTCTTATTTTCATATATTTTTGTCTCTTAGTTTGGGAGGTTTGAATTAAAGTAGTAATTCTGACAAGACCTCTGCCTCAGGCTGACGTTTACCCCCATACTTGACGCACATCTGCCCTACCTTGCCACATGGATCATTGCAATCAGACACAAAAACGGGCTGCAAAACTGTATGGGGCATGTTTGTTCTTTAATATCCTTGGCGCACAATCTTTTGTGGATTGGACCTTGACACAGGGCAGATAGCGGCTGCAAATGATGCAAGATTCTCGTTGCAATCTGCGGCTGCAATACATTCTTTGTGAATATAAGGCTCTATCTGCCCAATAAGAAACATCTATGATGTCCTGGAATTTGGTTGGAGAAAGGTTGTAACTTCTACTTCTTTTGCCTGCTGCCCAGTCTCCGGGGCGAGGTCGTTCCCAGGCTCTCATCGCTGCTCAGGAGAAGAAGTTTGACCTCCTCACTGACCTGGGAGGAGACATCTTCGCTGCTCCACCCACTCAAACTTCCAGCTCTAGCAACTTTGCCAACTTTGCACATTTTCCAAGCCACTCGGGTAAGAAAGCTCTCTCAAAGGCACCATACAGATCAATACGGAAACATAGTCGTGTTTAGCATTTGTTTTGACATCACTCCATGCATTTACTTCCCTGCCATTGTTTTTAAGTTCCACATTCATCATATGTGTTAATTTCTCCTTGTGAACGGCTGCAGCACCTCAGGGTAATTCAGACACCAACTTTGCCAACTTTGATGCATTTGGAAACACTGCAATTCCATCCCATCTGAGCACGTCACCCCCATCGAAGTCCTTTTCATCAGGTACCCCCACCCCCCCACCATTGTCTTTCCTCCACCCTGTCCACACATCCTCATCTCAGTATTTTTCATAATTATTTCTGGTGGTCACTGGTGAGTCCTTTCTGTGTCAAGCTTGTGCTCTATAGAAGCTAAGAACATGTGATGGTCATCAATACTGTTACACATTTGATGTAAGCATATTTGCAGATTTCTTATGACATGTTAAGCTTGTCTTTAGTTAGTCATTTTGGAAACACAAATACGTCCTTCCAATTTTAAATGGTTTTTTCATTTGGTCTTAAAGGAGACACCCAATTAGCATTTAGCATAAAGCTGTTAACATATCACGCTTTTCCTGAACACTTTGGCTAATTCTTTGTTTTTATTATTTGACCTTTTCTATGTATGCATGCCACACATCTCACCATCTTTTTATCTCACCAAAATTTGTCATAGGGGGAGGTGTGCCAATTCCGTCAATGTCTAGTGCCGTCCCCATCCAGATAGGCAGCAGCAGAGAGGACCGCTACGCTGCTCTGGCTGAGCTGGACAACGAGCTCAGCTCCTCTGTGAACTCAGGCAGCAGCGTGCCAGGGTGAGACACAGACACAGACACACACACACACACTCACTCACTCACTCACTCACTCACTCACTCACTCACTCACTCACTCACTCACTCACTCTCTCACTGCAATGCTAATAAATGTGCACCAGTAGCTGTTCATCTCCTACACAGGCTGCCTCTGCATAATTATAATAACTATTGATATGGCACCTTCCAAATCAGACATCACAAAGGGCTTTGGCAGACAAATCAAAAGCAGTATATAACAATAGAACAACAACACAACAGAAAGCAGAACAATAGGCTCTGTGCACAAGATGGCGTCTATGAACTTCCGGCGGCTGGGTGTGCGGCCGAGTACTTCCGGTTTGAGTACAGAGTTTTGACAGT